CTAACTAACTAACTACTACTACACGAACTACACACACACACACACACACACACACACACACAACTATATATATATATATATACTATATATATATATATATATATATATATATTATATATAATATAATATATATATATATATATATATATATATATAACAGCCTACTACTCCAATATGCTCACATAATCCTCGACACTTACGCTCTATCTTCTCGCCGCGGCCCAGCACATCCTGTATATTCTGAGTCATGATACGCTGCACGTCTTGTAATTCGTTGTTGAGTTTGTTGAGGTTGCGGTTGGCACGGGAGTCCATGTACTGTCGCTTGAGTCTCTGGATGGTCGTGTCTGTGTGTAGATGTGTGTGTGCGTGTGAGAAAGTCAGTTGGTATGACCTTTCATGACATACGCCTGCGTGTATTTGTGTGTGCTGTGGCATTCACCGACATTGTATACAACACAGCCCCAGGAAGGGTACGAAAAACAAACCCAGAAAAGATATAAACGAGCATGTAATCGGAAGAGACATGAATGGCAATGACGACAATATTGCTTACTGTACTCGCGCGACTACTGCACATATGCTCATATACGGCGATCAATCAATAGACTAGCACAACCAGTCAGGCATGATACCACCACAGACCACACGCACACCGTTGGTAGTGACCTCTTGGATTGGCGGGTTCAATGGTTAGCAACAGAGTATGTGTGTGAATTGAAAACGTTTAACATGCGATAAACACGGGGTTGACGCATAATAGCAGACTAAAGTGGTCAGTCGAATGGTGGTAGAGCATTAACGCAATCGTTCAGGTAAACACATACAGATAATGCATGTATACTGGAAAGAATACAAATACTTGTCATCACTTTCGGCACCGCACACATGCGCATAGAGAATAAAATATGGGGTATATATATATATATGTTCATACACAGACACAGACACAGACACAGATACACAATATATATATATATATATATATATATCTATAGATAAAATATATAGATATAGATATATAGGATATATATATATATATATATATGCATATTTTGACAATTGCAAACTGACCGAATGAGATGAACGCGTATGGACGGGCAGCGGTTCCAATCTCATTTGCGTATGCTTGGTAGAATTCTTTTTGAACCTCCTCCAGGTATGAGAAGGCGAGCTTCTTAGGATAGGACTTCTCGCATAGTACCAGATAGCACACACCCATTTCAATTAAGTAGCTGTGTGATGTGATAATATATTGAATAATCAATTCTTTGCGTGAGGTAGTAAGATTGAAAACTAGTTCGTTTAATGTGGTATTCCTATAGCTAACTATTTGACTAAACGCACGTTTATATATATATATATATATATATATATGTGTGTGTGTGTGTGCGTGTGTGTGTGTGTGGTGTGTGTGT